ATAGATACAATGTCTCTGTCCCTCGTTTTACCCTTTCATCCACAGCAAAAAGGGTGGGAAGTTAGGAATACTTTGCCACATATCTGTACATTTTCTTTACCAGATGCAAAGGAATTAAATTGAGATTAATATTGAAAAAGAATTCTGCGTTCTGTGCAGCAGGACATACACTAGATTATTTTCCTTTTAAATCTTGGGAAAGGTAACCGTGGTTTGACAGAGCAGAAGAGTTATATTCCCTTTTTATTACCTGGTGTAGATTATAGGCAGCATGAACTTCCATATACTGCACTACCAATATGCCTAGTTTTGATTTTGAGAGATCATCTCTAGAAGTGAGAAGGGAGTTCATTCCTCAGGCCTCACTGCTCACCCTGACAGTGAGATACTGGTTAATATTAACTGTAATGGCAATTTTGTGTTGTGGCTAACTACTTACTAAGAATTATACAGGAACCCACAAATCGTTTCAAATACACCAATAATTAGCCATTGAGGCTAGAGAAAGAAGTTACATATAAACTGGTTTAAATGATCAAAAACAGGTTTAAACCTGTAACAGAATAGAAGTTCAGTGCATATAAGCCAGTTTCAAAATGACTTAAATTGGTTTAGGGTAAACCTGGTTGAATGTAGTATCAGACTTAACTGATTTGGGTCAAACCAGTTTATGCAACTTCTGTCCCAGACCTCTTCCTGGTTCAAGTTAAATCAGAGTCCCCCAGCATCCCAGCATTTTGCAGCCCTTGGCTAGGCTGGGCTGTCTGCTCCAGAGAGCAGGGCTGGCCCTGCCCCTCTGCTCCCTAACTGGAGCAGTGAGGGCTGGCCCACTGCTTATTTAGTGCTGGCTGTGACTGTGGATTACAAATCCCAGAGGCACCTGGAATCAGGAAGAAGAAATGAGAGCAGATCTCCGGAGTCCTGCTACTGTAAGTCTGGACTGCAAATCCTAGAGACCTCAGGAGCAGCAGGAAGAGGAAGCAAACACACAGCCTATGCTGGCTGCATTTCAGAGAACTGTGCTGTAGTGCCCCCCAGCTTCTGACTTGAGCCACTGCAGGCATGTGGCTGCGTTTCCTGAATCAAAAGAGAATGTCTGTTCATTTGCTTATTTGTTAGCTTAGATTAACCTACAAAGACTGAATCAATTCAGCCTCAGGCTTTTATCTGTCTGTACTTAGCCTAAATGGCTAGTTACTGAAGCCAGATTGAAACTGGCAGTCCTGAACTGGAAGGGGAAATAATAGGGAGAATTTGCCAGCTCATCTTGATGTGTAAAACCTCAACTTTTTTGTTTTTAGATCTTTCAACAACAGCTGGATTCATTTCAGGCACTTCGGCAACAGACTCTGGAGAATGTTAACATGGTAAAAGTAGAACCTAAAGTACACATACAATAAGGGAAAAAAACTTTGATCTAAAACTCAGCATACTCTCCTAGTTTTTAGATTCTGCCCATAATATTTTAACTAATGTAAACAAATCAAACACATTTTTATTTTACCAAAACTTGATAAAGTAAAATAGCATTTTAATAGTAGGTGCCTATTTAAAAAATCAGAAGTTACACTGATTTGCTGAAAATGAATTTCCTAAGTCTTATAAAGTAAATACACATAGCCATTGATACAAAGTATTGTCAAGAGCCAAAATATATTTTATCCAAAACACTGGACCAAGTAAGCCAATTAAACATTTGGCTTACTATTGCTACTTTGAGCTTACTGTACATGTTAAATGTGCACTTATATAAATTTAATGTATGGTGATCACCAGAAAGTAGTTTATTCTGTCTGTCTACGACTTTGTACTGCTCCAGTCACTATGGTATCTGATTGACAAGCAGTACCTGAAAACAGGCCATTGTAGGAAAAGGAAACAGTGAAATAGAAAACGAGACAAGATCAGTTTCTTCTTCTTTCATTTGCATTGGCATAAAGGAAACGTTACTTCATTGACTTCAAAGAAGTTACTCCTGACTTACATTAGCATAAACAAAAGCAGAATCCATCCTGTAGTTTTAAACTGCCATATCCTCCAGATAGTGAGCCACTATTCAGGAACAGTTTTCTGCCCTTTCAATAATTTTACCTCATTTTGTAATGTAAAAATCTAAGACTCCAGCACTGCATAGACTTACATATACACTTAATTTTATTTTTCAAGGGTAGTTGCAGTGAAATCAACAATTTTCATTCTCATATATCAGGGCAAAGCAGTATACTGCTGTCTAACCTATCTTTCATGTGAGGAGAAAAACAAACCCTTTGCTGACAGGATATATTCCAAAAATGAAATATTTCTGCATGTATGGTTTCACGTATGTCTCTGAAAGAAAAACAGTCTTAATACTTCTCTTTTTCAGGTACAGTCTGAAATCAGTGAAATACTGAACAAGAGTGTAGTTGATGTGAAAACTTCACAGGGTAGCTCAAAAGAGTTTCTGATGACTAGTTCACCTGCCAAAACACCTGTGGTATGTTACTTAATCCTTATCGCTGAAGAAGTTATATATAAAAAGATTGTGCTGGACTGCTGTTCCTGATAATTCGGTTTGCTATAAAGCACTGTAACCAAAGCCAAAGGTTATTCTGTACATGAAAAGAATCCACAAAAACTTCCTCACTAAAAATATACATTTACATGATGTCACCATAATTCTGTCTTAAAAGAACTGTTATTTAAGTCAACTGGGAAGATAAAGCCAGGTTGAGGGACTTAACAAGGCTTTTCTCCAATCTAGTGAAAGCTCTGTTCCTTTTTGTTGTAGATAAGACTTTAACCAGGTCATCCAAACTATATTGTTCACTGAATAGAATCCAGGGCTTCAACTTCTTTTAAAGTAAATGAGGTAGGATGGTCAGATAGATGGATTTACTTCTGTAGCATGATGTATAAACCATTACATAGACTCAGAACCAAATCCTGGTTGCATTACAGGATTGTCATGGGTTCTGTGCATTTCCCTAACCATTCTGGTCCAATAAGCTGTTAGGCATGAGTGGACATTTGACCTCAAAAGACTTTTAGCTCACTAGTTAACTTGTCTTTCCCCAGCTGCAAATGTCCCTAGAGAACTCAGTGGGCTAAGTCAGTACTTTAGAGTTATTCCAATCCCGATGAGGGTCATTGGAAAAAACAGGCCATGGAAAAGGTCCTTTTTCTAAAGCAATGGTTCCTCTCTAGGTTCTGATACAAATGCTTGCTCTCTAAAAACATTTAAGCATCTTAACAAATATTAGTAGACTTCAGGAAGAAAACAAAAGACCTAATTAAATTAATTATGGCTCATAATATAGTTTCTTAAATTTACTGACATACTCAAATCTGTTCTTACTCATTTTCCTTTCCTTACGTTAGAGAGATAAATAGAATTAGTATATATAATCTCTACCAGTGCTACATGATGCATCATAAACTTGGCAACCATTTGGCTGGCTTTTGCCTCTAGAATTGTAAACAACAGTCCTTATAGAATGATTGTTATTGGATTATTCTAGTTTACAGAGAGTCCACAATCACCGTTTTCTATGAAGGAATTTCAGTACGATCAGAAACTCTGCACCCATCAGCCCCTGGAGGCAAGTTCTAATATTTTCCTTGGAAATGTGGTCAGTGATGTAAATATTTCTCATCAGATTTCACTAAAAACTGTAACAGCAGGAAAGATTGAAAAACCATTAGGACCAAATGAAATCAAAACTATGAATACTCTAAGCAATGAATATTTTTTGAAGGATTTTGCCAAACCTAAATGTTTTCTACCTTGCACTAGTATAGAAGCTGCAACTATTACTCCTGCTAATAATAAATTAATTTTGGATGAACCTAAAGCTCCTTTGAGTTTCCTCAAATATGATGATGAACTTCATTTAACAGACTTTAACTATTCTACCAAACAGTTGAAACAAGAACTCCAAAAGCCTCATGAACAGGAACTAGGACACACATCTGAACTTCAGAATGTTTCCTGTAGTCAATATAATGATTCTGAATATATGCTAAAACAAGATCCCAAAATATCAACTCTGTTTTTATCTTGCAAGAAATTAAGTGAGGACTCAAAATCAATAGAAATTTCAAAACCTGAAGAAACAGTAGACAAATCACATATTACACTGGTTTCTCTTCAAGGAAATAATCTGAATCTTGATAAAGAATTTAATAAAGATTCTGAATATGAAAACTTATGGACTTTTGCCCTTAAAAGTACATGCAGTACCCAAGAAGAAGCTGAAAGCAAAAACAAAAATGAATTTTATAGCACTGACAATGGTGTTGAGGGGTTCCAGTTCGATGTCTTTTCCAAAACAGTAAAGGATAAGTTACAAATGCTTGATCACATAGAACAACTGCAGAGAGAAAAAGAAGACCAACTGCACATACTAAGCCAAAGAATACTAGACCCTGGAAATCCTAAATTCAGTGAAATCAAAGCTGCGTCAGAGTACTCTGAAAAAATTGAAGTGTCTCAAAATTCCTCCAAATATTCTGAACACTTACAAAATAAAATGCTGCAACTTGAGAATGAAAACATAACTTTCAAGGCTGAAGTGAAACATCTTACTGTTATCATACAGTCTCTGAGAGAAAAAAGCTCAAAATATGAAAAGCAAATTAAAGCTCTGGCTGTAGAAAAGCAAAACATGAAAGTCAGATTAGTTAAATCAGAAGAAGACAGCAAGGAATGCATTAAAGAAGTGAAAAGGTTGTTACGAAAATGTAAAGAATTTCAGAACCAAAATAAAACTCTCCAAGAACAAAGAAGCCAACTCTGTATTGAAAACCAATGTATAAGGCAAGCATTAGACGACTTTAAAATTAAGAATCAGGAAGCACAAGAACAGATGATCGCTGCTACTGCTGAAAAAGATAAACTCACTGTGGTACTGGATTCTTTGCAAAAGGAATCTTTGGTCTTACGAGAAGTAAATCGGAAACTAGAAACAAAAACATCCCAGCTTATACAAGAAAAAACCTCACTTGAAAAAGAACTTGTACAAAATCAGGTTGAAATAAAGCAACTGAAAGAAAAAGAAAACGTAACAAAATCTGAACAGGAGACTCTTCTTCAATCAGTGCAGTTACTTAAAGAAAACAAGTTTAACCTTGAAATGGCATTGCAGGAATGTGCTAATGTGAGACAAATGCAACAGAAGGAGCTTGAGAAAGTCCAATCAGATAAAACTTATGCAGAGGAGAAACTCCTTACTGAACTTAGAAATGCAAAAGCAGAAATTGACTTTTTGAAAACTAATTTGGCCAATGTGGACAGAGACCAGGACAGGTTATCAGTTGTTGTCAGAAACATCACAGAGGAAAATCGGCTACTTAAAAAAGAAATACAGGACCATAAACATGATGTTTCCAAATATCAAATTAGCATTGGAAGACTGAATGAGGACCACTTACTAATGGAAAACCACGTAAGAACTATAGAAAATGAGAGGGATGTATTGCAGTTTGAAGTCCGCCACCTGCAGAAGGACTATATTAATCTGCAGGACCAAATCACTGCCCTGGTTAATGAGCAGTGTAAATACACATATACTTCAGGGAGTCAGGAGAAAGTTCACTCTACATATTCCATGGATATTTGTGAAGAAATTTCTGATTACAAGTGTACAGCTTTAGTATATAACCCACAAGGTGTGTATCATACTTTACAAGATCTTAGTGGGCTAGTGGTATTTTATTATTATTTTTTTTTATTTACCTCATTTTAGACCCAAGTAGCTTTTCAGATAAAATTATTGACTAAAAGTATTAACATATCTGAATATTTGTTTGAGTTTTCTGACTAGGGAAGTTCTAGGACCAGTTTAAGGTTTGTTTTTCTAATTTTAAGAATTTCTTGTTTCTGGAAAAAAAAGTTTCTATATACCACAGCATTTTTTTCTAATACAACAAAACCACAATGAGGATTTTATCCAAAGCATTTTGAAGGCCTGGGAGTTTTTCCTTTTGAAATAGATGACCCTTAGATTGGACCTTTAAAGTTATAAATTGTTCTTTCAGGGCCATTTCCCTTTTTTGTCCTAATTAGGTACTGAAAGAAATTCTTCCCACTATTTTTAAAAGAAAACTGTTTTTCTTTTTCAGGCAATTCCAGCTAAACTGCAACAGTCTCTTGATTTGGAGAAACTGTAATAAACATGCCTTCTTTTAAACCAATTAAAATGCTACTGTCCAATTATTTCATTACCACAGTGATCTATTTGTTTAAAGCTTATTTTTACAGTCAGCATTTTCCTATATGCTTTTTTTGAATGCCCAACTCTTGGCTGCATTTCATTTTTACTAAAAGGAGGTTTGCTGCAGCTGTAAATTGTTATAGGACCAATGAAGTCAAAGAAGCCATGACTATTTATGCTACCTATGGTTCCCACCCACAAATTTTAAGCTTAGAAAAGAGTGTTAGCTTTTCTAATCTAACTACTTAACAGAGTCCAGAACACTTTGCATAGTTATTTTGGCATCTAACCCAATAAAAGATGCATAGTTTTAATTCATGTTATTAAGACATTCAGGATTTCTTATGGTTAACAATGCCTAACCTACACTTCTAATCAACATTTTTTTTGTTTTCACAAGTAGTGAAGTCATATTTACAAATATTTTAATTAACAACTGGAGATTTAAGACATCTGCTAATATATTTACACTGGAAAAATGAGATGTATGTAGGCAGAGGGACATAATTTTGTAGGAAGATTAGAGAGGAAAGTAGAATCCATTACTGCAGAAATAGTCTCCTAGTCCCTCATCCTTGGGGAAGGGAGGAATGTCACAGACATATTTCTTATATGATACTTCATCTATAGGGATTAGTATAATGGCTCTTGTAGCCCAGATGGGAGTACTGTAGTTTACTTTTTCAATCCACTGCATGTTTCAAGGGACCATTTTAGTTACCCCAAAGGCACTGCTGCAGAATCATTCCATGAAAGAAAAGTAAAACAACGTAACAAGGAACTGGAGTTCCCCGAATCCCTTCCATAGACCTGCATTTGCTTTAGTAGGATGAGTTACACTCATTAGGGTACATCTTTTGCAGGCCAGAAACATCAGAGGTAACTTCCTAATGTTCAATAAAGCATCAAGGCATATAACAGCTCTTTTCTTGTTTTTGTGACTGTGCTTCCCATATAGATGAGAAGCTGTAGCGCTATGGAGTCAGACTTGGCATAGGAAGATGCTGTGCAAACTTTTCTATACAGCTCCGTTATTGTACCTTAACACATTGTTGATCTTCTTGCCTGGGAAATACTTTCCTAGCCATTTATAACAGTTGCATAGGGTTAAGCTCTTCTAGTACATGGTTGTACGGCACAAAAGCTAAAGTGGGGTTGCTGGGTACAACTGTAAATGTAGTCTGTGTATATTTTAGAATGATTTTTGTACAAATAAAGTCTACCCGTTATGATGTCAATATTGCCCCATGCTTAGGAGTACCACTTGTTTGGCTAGTGATAGAAAAGGCCACTGTCTTGGAAAGCCAAATTCAGAAGAGACATTAAAAGATTTATTCATTGACTGCTTTTAATACTGTTGTAAGTATAGAATAACTTAATTGGCTTCAGTGAAATTGACTCAGTTTTTTTGTTGTGATACTCAGATCAGAATCTACCCCAAAATGTGTTATGAACACACTATCAATTTTTAGTCAGAGGGTGAAAACAAAAATTACTTATTGTTATTTTTTGTACTTTGTAGGGCCTTTTGTCTTCTATCCTGGATAACAATGAAGCAGTATTTAAAGGCAGCTTCTGAGAAAGTTATGTATTCTACCATTTCAGTAAAATGTAGAGACAAGAAGGGAAAGATTAGCAATAAAAGCATCATTTTCTGTATCCCAGTAGCACCTAAAGACCCCAACCAGAATTGGGCCCCATTACAATAACAATCAGGAATAACCGCTTTCTGCTAATACAGACACATTTTCTGCCCCAGAAAACTTATAGTATTAGGCAGAAATCAGTACCTCCTTATGACTAGAATTGAGGCTGATCCACACAGCTTACCTATCTTTACTGACAAAGTGCAATGGAATTTTTAAACATTAATCTCTAATGAAAACTTACAGTCTCCAATGTTTCCGCTTTGTTAGAGAATGGAAAGATTGCTGAAATGCGAAAGAAGCTAGAAGAGGAAGAGGTACAAAAAGGGAAGAGGCACAAGGACCTGAAGAAATATTATAGCACTATTTCAGTCAGCTGTACTACATCTGTAATCAGGGAGTCAAGATTTAGAACTGCAGTCAGGAAGAAATACAGCACAGTTTGCTCTGCTACCTAGTGATTTGAATCTAGAGAGTTCAGCAATGAAGAACACACCCAAGTTATTGTATATATATATTCCTGGTATATATTATGAATATGATGCCAAAACAAAGGTTAGCACAATCACCAATACCTGTTTCACAATATAAAAATCAGAGAAATTAAGAAAAAAAAAGAAATATCTTTAAAAAGGTCAAGTACAAAAACTGCTATAGAAATTCATATTAAAAATATGCTGCTGGGTCGTGTTTTGCAGTAACTTTTGGGGACAAAATCTCCATTGATCTCAATGGGAATTTTTCCTGAGTAAGGACTGGAAGAGCTTGCCAATAATTTGATTCTCATTTCCATACTGTCAGATATTAGAAAATGTGGTGTTTAGTTGGAACATTAGTACAAATGTTGAATATCAGATGGTGAAAGCCTTGTGGTAGGACATTCTTAGAATCATTATGGCTACTAAAATGAGTCCGCTAATAAAAGTTGATACAGAAAACATTGCCTTCATGTAATAATTTTTATATTTATGTAACCCAGGTGGTGGCCCAATAGTTGCCACCCCTGCCCAATATCAGGGATGGTGTGGTGAGAGTGGGGCAGGGCTTCCGGCCAGCACCAATTTACTTTGCAGCCGACCCCTGCTCCCCACAGAGCAGCCCGTGGTCCCAAGGTCTTACACTTAACTGATTTAACTATTTGCACTTTATTTACAAAACAAGAATAATAGGAAAGGTTATTTACAAGTGAACTTAAATGACATAACTAGAATCACAAAACAAACCAGAATGCATTAGTCAACCCTTGACTCAAGAACCACAGGTAGGGTAACTGGCAGCTTTCAGCCACTGCTGAGATGCTACCACAAGGAAGCAAGGTGGTCACTCCCCACAGCTCCAACAGGCTTCCCAATAAGCGACATACTGCAACTATACTACTTGCTACCTTCCCCTCTATTTTAAGATGAGAGTTATCGTTTGTATTTGTATTCAAGATCCTAGATTAGAAGAGCTATTTTTTAAAGGCACATTAGATTCTTCATGTCTCCCTTCTTTGAAAATGAAGTTAAGATGCCCTCAAGGAAGAGACAGAATCTCACGCCCTCAGGAGGCCAAGAAGAGCAACATGAAGTGCTGATTAATGGAACTACTGGCAGTCTTTACTAAGAAAACCTTATGGCCTCAATCCTTTTTGGAACAGTGGGTGATCTTTTTGAGAACACTGTCTTAATTGAGGGTATATCCAGATATTGGTGAAGATAATCATAGAAATTAGGGTTGGAAGGGACCTCAGGAAATCATCCGGTCCAGTCTCCTGCTCAAAGCAAGTCCATCCACAACCAGATCATCCCAGCCAAGGCTTTTTCTAAGCAGGTCTTAGAAACCTCAGAGTCAACAATTTCACAGGGTAGCCTGTTACAGTGCTTTACTGTCCTCCTATTGAGAGAGTTTTTCTTAATACCCAACTTAAACCTCCCTTGCAGCAACTTGAGACCATTGCTCCTTGTTCTGTCATCTATTACCACTGAGAACATCCTCTTTGGAACCTCCCTTCAGGTAGTTAAAGGCTGCTATCAATCCCCTCTCAATCTTCTCTTCTGCAGACTAAATAAACCCAGTTCCCTCAGCCTGTCCTCATAAGTCATGTGCCCCAGCCCCCGAACCATTTTCATTGCTCTTCAATCAAAACTACAAGAATACATTTTGGCATACTTAAGATACAGATCAAACGTCATTATTCCTAAAGGACAATGTTGACCTCTTGAATAATATTTAATCTCTTTGATATACTTCATGGTGGTGGCAACCATAAGCAGCCATTGCCTTTTCTGAAGTAATCATCAATATATTAACCAAATATAACATCTAAATGATGCACACTAAAGTGTGTTACATGTATAAATTGTCCCAACAATATAAACTATATTATTTTGATACAGATTAAGATTTCTGAATAACTTACTTACAGACTTTATAAACATATCATTTGTAAATAACATGCATTTTTGTTAATTCATTTATAAAATATAGTCTCAAACAAGATGCAGATAAACTCTGCATTGCCTTATTTGACTGAGTTTCATCTTCCACAAAACTTTTATTTACTTCATATACTCATTAATTCCTGAATTGCTACAGATTACAGTCTAGAAAAGTGTTCTTTATTATGCTGCTGGGAGCCAATATGATGTCAGACATGTAGTCTTGTAATTAATTATGTTTAATGACCTGAAATGATTCAAGTGAAAAGAAGTTTACATTAGATTTCCCATATTTGCTCAATTCCAAGACAAGTTCCCCCTCTCCCCCTTTTAATCTGTGGAAAAATGCCTCTTGAATGGATTTGAGAATCAGGCAGCAAGGAGTGGAAGGTGGAGAAGGGAAGGGGCTCTGGATCTGGCCCTATCCCAGGGTGTGGCCAGAGTTACAACTGTGGCCCACTCACCCCCACGTCTTCCCGCATAGCCTCTGTCCCGCTAGTTACCCTGTCGCCTCTTTTTCCCCCACCCCCATTGTACCTCTTACCCCAATCTGACCCTCCCAGCTCCCTTCATAGTTTATAGTGCCTTCATGCAAACACTTCCAACTTCCCCAACTCAAGAAAAGAAATGAGATACTGCTCTGTGTTTGTTGAACTGAAAGTGAAACAAAAATTAATTACAGTTTTAGTTTTGGTTTTGCTTTTACTTGCAGTCTGAGATGAAATAAAAACCAAACCTAAAATTCTTATTTGACCTGCACAGCCAATTAAGTGAATTCATAACTTGATTTTTGGTTTGGATTATTATGAGAGTATATTTACCCTCCTGTTTACAAGTCAATATATATACTCTCTCACATACTTCCTAGCAATAATTACCTGAAAAACATTAATTCCAACTTTGAAACTGCCAAGCTTGCCTAATATTGTATTGGCATCCATTCATTGTTACTAATGAATTTTATAAAACAACAAATTTTTAGAAATGGAAAATTTCCCACAGAAAAATAAAGCACTGGAAAATTTTCTGCCCCGCACTTCTGACCATCACTTCAATTTATAATTGAGCTTGCGGAAATATATTTTAGTTTATGAAATACATTCCTTTTAAGCACATAGCCTTGGAACTGAAACCCCTCCCTCATGTACTTACCTGAAGTATGTGCTTACCAAAATTTAATGAACATTAAGAACACAGCACTGCCAGTATTGAGACAGTGGCACTGATTAGCGTCCCACATTTTCAATGTTTCTAATAGCCAGTTTCAGGTCTGCTATTAGCAGCCTTGAAAATGAAAGGAGCTAGGCAATTTGGGGGCTGCTAACACCACACCACTGACAGTGCTATGTATTTAACAAGCCCTGTTTACAGCACTGTCAATGCTGTGGTACTGGCAGCCACAAAACTGACAAGTTCCTGTCATTTTTCAAGGCTTCTAAATAGTCAGTTTCAAGGCTGTTATTAAAAGCCTTGAAAATGAGGCAAGAGAGCAACTGCAAGAATAACTAGCTCTTGTCATTTTCAAGGCTTCTAATAGCCCTTTGACAGCTGCTTCCTCTTCTCATTTCTGGTGCAGTTAAACAAAACACAATTAGTCACAAAATACATAGTTACAGTTTGTATACAGTTAACATGGGCAAATTAAGTTGCAAAAGCTGAATTGGAGCAATACAAAGGTGAAACTGATCTGTACAAAGAAGTTTTGAAGTCTGCAGGTAAAAAATACATTTCATAATTAGTCAATTCAGTCAGTAATATAAGGAGCCTGCTTGCATCCGTCACCCATGCCAAATAGCAGCATCCATAAATAATACCTTCCATCGTTTCTAGCTGGTCACTAAACTACATGCCACCCTGGTATGAAACAAGGGGACCTCAGCTCCTCACATATATCACCTCTTCAGTACACCAGAGAAGTGTAGTGAAGAGGTGAAGTCTGTGTTTCCTGAGAAACTCCATTCTGTACTGAATACTGCAGAAACACAAGCTCCTGTAAGCACATCAAACTCTTCCTCCCAACTTCCTACACTGGCATCCTTCACAATTTAAAATCATGTTCAAGGTTTCTGCCCCTAACTTCAAAGCTCTTCATGGACTCAGGAGATTTCAGACAATCTTTTAAGTTCCAGGAGACACAAGGAATATAAAAATCTGGTACAATGTTCCTCTGACGTAGAGTGGTACTGAGGCAGGCCCTGTGATGCTGGGCTATGTTAGGAGCAGGAGGGGTGTAAAGTTCCAGAATATGCCTAGGGCGTTCATGCTATGTTAGCAAAAGAGAATATCAGAAATAGCAGCTTAACTTTTTCAAAGCTATAATGTATTTCAAATGTAAGTGTAAATAGTGTTTCGTGCTATTGGTGGAACAGTAGAGATAAAGAGATTCTGTTTTAAAGACATTTGTAATAATGACCAACCCTTTTTTTCCCCAGAATTTCCACTTATAGCTTTGGATGCAGCAATGACTGCATTGTAAATCAGAGTTTCACAACCTATTACCCTTAATCTGGCAATGGGTCTTCAGTGACATTCAACCACAGGGGGCTTCAACAGCAGTCATTGCCCCCTGTTGGCATGGAAAAGAACAGGCTCTCCCAGTACCACCACAAAGAGTAGTAATGAGAGGTACTTTCCCCCTGCTGCTGCGAAAAATAGTGGCAGTGGCTGGGTCCTAACGCTCACCTGACTGTCTCTGACCCAGACTGGGTCAATCTGGCTCACAGCCTTAAACAATTGCCAGCTGTTGTAGATCAGTGGTTTTCAACGTGTGATCCATGGACCCCTGGGGATCTGCAGACTATGTCTAGGGTCCATTACAGATGACTATGATCAATCAAAAGTATGTGAATACCTACACTTGCCATTCAGAGGGGTCTGCACCTCCATTTGAAATTTCCAAAGGGGTCTGCACCCTCATTCAAAAATGTTTTTTTGTGGAGGGGATCCACAAATGAAAAAAAAGGTTGAAAATTGCTGTTGTAGATCGTAGGAAATCAGGCCACACAGGCATACCCCTCTCACCAAAAGCAAAGTAGAACAGCAGAGGGAGCCCTGCACAAAAAAAACTAGAGGGGATTAAAATGAAAGAAAGGGAGAAGTAGGAAGACACCACCTGTGGAGCTGTCACAGTGGCTCTTAAATTTTCTAGTCCCAAAACCAAACTCTGTGATTCAATATCAGTGCGTGCAATCTGCATTTCCAATTTAGCTAAACTTGAATTGACTCTTAGTTTTCCCATACATGTCCAGTATCATATCAACTACTTGAGCTTCACAGGCTAGAATGCCATCTACACTTCTGGCAAGCATTAAAAATTCCTCAGAAAAACCTCCTTTTAATTTTCCCTATTAGA